TAAAAAGCAGTTGAACCAGCTATTTTATGTATGAAGCGTATAAATATATATAATTGATAGTCTCGAAAATCTACTTATAGACAAAAAGCAGTCATTTTATATAAAAGTAATTCAAGTTGGACTACTTTGATGATCAATTCATATTATGAGATATCGATTTATCTGCAATCCTACATATCAACACTTGACTACCCTAACTGTCCTCTTGTTTATCTTATTGCAGCGATAGCACATTTCTGGCAACACCACCTTTTCATGAAACAGCTGCTACTCGTCGACCTGATTCCGGTCCTTCACTCTGTTATTCCACAATGACTCTGGCTGGCACTCACTTCGGACAACTCTCTTCTACTCTTTCGCTTGAAACCGCTTCAGATGCCACTCTTACGGGTGAGGGCATAATGTCGGTGACATATACTGCATTGGGGACGGCCGGTCTACAGACTACTCCACCACAGCCGCGTCGCCGATTACCTTCCTTACCTGTTTTGAGAAGAGACTGGTCATCGGCTATGATTCAAAGACATGAGACAATCCATTTTGCCACTGGACAGTTGACTGGCAATCCTTTAGCTGCATCAGAACCGTCGAATATAGACCTGTTAACACTGATTAAACGCGATTTCTACTGGGACGATCCTACATCCAGGGTTCTTAAGAACATCAGTATCAATATTAAAAAGGTAGGGAAGCTGTCCATAAATTTTCCTCAGCAGAGTCATAAATTATCGAATGAATAGGTTTAGTAACTGTTACAGATCTCTAATAATGACTTGAGATACTAGGTCATTTATGGTGGAATATTGGCTGAGCTTTTGTTAACTTGTGGATTTCGCAAGATTGAGTCCCAGCTCGGATGATCTTCGTCATATGAAGAAACAAGACTCGACTTGCTTTCACTTGAAACGAGGGATGGTGTGTCGCAGAATGCGTCAACTTGAGCGTCGCATTAAAGCAAAACGACCTCAGTAAAATGGGAATCAGCCGACGTCTTCTGATGAGATTGACCTACGAATCTTTTCATAATGCACTTTCATACAAAATGAAAGTGTACAGAATAACTTCGTTGTGTTGATTTGACCTGGTTTTTCAAAGGACAAGGAGACCTTGTTGAATGTACGTATTCCTACGTCCTCTGCCAAAGTATTCATGATGCTATCCAACATCGAACCACTTACTTGGTACATTCACAGACATTTCGCCGACATCATTATTGAGAAAGCAATACTTATCACAAAGTTATAACTTATCAAAGTGACAAGTGAAGAAAATCCTCTTGACCAATTTTTTGTTCTACCTCTGTGGCACTACTCCTTGCCTATATTTTTTGTCCTACCTTCTAGCGCTGCATCTTTCTCTTAGACCCACGATAAGCACTAGAAACTAGGCCAAAAACTAGGAGCGACGAGTGATGACATAACAGTTTAGCATAAAATTGGTCAAGGGCATTACCTTGACTTGTCACTTTGATAAGTTGCACCTCTGTGGGCCTCTCACTGGCAATGCCTGCAAGACATCTGATAATGTGCCAAGTCAACTGTACGATACTGGAAATCACCAAGACTATTATGGCAGAGGGTGCAGGACTAAGTAAGTTGCACAAGGTCTCTTTGTCGACCCAACTAAGTTAAAAAAACGAGGTAAAACCCAAACTGCAGCAGTTTGGCTTTTCTACGACATTCAGGTTGACGCGGTCTACGAGAAATCCCCGACTTTCTCACTAGTTCTATCTTTTTTGAAAAAAGGCATTTTGAAAGAAAAGATATCTTGTCTGCGTATGAAAATTTTTTCCTTAGTATTATTACCAATAACGCCCAATTAATAATTATTTTTCAGGAATACATTTTTTTCAGCCGTTTCAACTCTAGTCAAATG